CACATAGTAGACTCGGAGGGCATACAAAAACAACCGGAAAAATTGGTATGCATCGATAATTTTCCGGTTCCCAAAAAAGTTAGGGACGTACGTACATTTTTGGGCGTGTGCAATTGGTACAACCAGTTCGTAGATAATTACGCGGATACCATAGCACCCCTCACTAATTTATTAAAACAGGGGGTTCGGTGGAAATGGACAGATGTAGAACAACGCGCGTTCGAATCAATAAAAAACGCCCTAGTCACATCGCCGAAATTGTCCCCACCCGATTACAGCAAAACGTTTTGTCTCCAAACCGATGCAAGCGAGATAGGAGCTGGCGCGGTACTCTTCCAACGGGGTGACAGACCGGAGGAAAGACGCATCATATCCTACGCAAGCAAAAAGTTTAGCGAGACACAGACGAGGTACGCCGCGGTAGAACGCGAGTGCCTAGCAGTAATTTGGGCAACGGACAAATTTCGGCCATACCTAGAAACCCGACGTTTCGAACTCCTAACAGACAACTCGGCACTGACATGGTTACACAGGGCTAAAGACAAAAATTCAAAATTAACACGTTGGTCACTACAACTAGCTAATTTAGATTTTAGTACGGTACACGTCCCGGGAATACAAAACGAAGCACCCGATTTGTTATCCCGCGACCCGGCACCGGGCACACCTGTAGACGAAGATCGACTCGAGGAAAAATTGGTAGGGGCACCTGTAACGCCGACAACCAATGTTGACCCCGAGTCGGATCGCATATCCTCCATGTTCGATAACCACGACAGTGACGACACACCACTCACCGCGTCGACGCTCGAAAAGTGGCAGTCCGAAGACGCCGCGATCCGCGCCATAGTCGCCGGTCATAAGTGGGACGGACCAACGCGAAACACTAGGAGCACAAAATCGGGAACAAACACATATGTTTTCTCCGACGGTCTCTTACGCATAAACGTAGGCCCCCACACACCCATCGTGATACCGAAAACAAAAATACAACATGTAATTTGGAGGTGTCACGATCACGTCTTATCCAACCACCCGGGTTGGAAAGAGACGTACCGGGCGGTTCGACAACGGTACTATTGGAAAGGTCAAAAAAATGGCGTCAGGTCATATGTAGGTGCGTGCCACGTATGTGCGTGCACGAAACCACTAAACTCACGTCCCACCGACCCAATGCAACCAAGAACCCCCCGGCAACCATGGGAAGTCATCAGTGTCGATTTAATTTGCCCATACCCACGTTCCGGTAAGGGAAAATCGTACATACTGGTAGCAACCGACTGTTTTAGTAGGTGGACCGAGGCTTACCCCTTAGGAACAGCAACCTCAAAAACAATAATCGAAACGTTAGAGCGAGAGTTCTTCTCGCGTTTCGGTTACCCCCGCGTGTGTCTCAGTGATAACGGCCCACAGTTTGTGTCAAACGAAATGATAAACGCACTAGAACGCTGGGGGGCACAGGGTTGGACGACTCCAGTCTACCACCCGAAGGCCAACCCAGTCGAACGCCGTAATCAAGATTTAAAAAAAGGTTTGCGCGCACAACTAGTCGACGGCAAACATAAATCTTGGGACACAAAACTACCCTCAATTCTTTTTTCGATACGGAACAGGTGCAACGAACAGACATGCTACCCACCCGTGGTCCTTGTCCTAGGCAGGGAATGCAAGAGACCCGGAGATTGGGCGCTATCTAAAATTGCACCGGTAAATATCGAAAAATCACAGGAAGAGAGGGTAGAGCGGGAAAAACGTATTATAGGCAAAAAGGTAGTGGTAAAGCCTAGCACGAACACCGGCACACCGGTGAAGTTCGGCAAGGGCGACGTAGTCTACTACAAAGCACACCACCTATCTAAGGCACATAAAGATTTTCATGCCGGGTTCGCACCAAAGTGGTGGGGACCGGTAAGGCTAGCGAAGCAGGTCGGTAAGGGAGTCTTCCAAACCGACCAACAACCGCCGCGGAAATTACATGTGTCGTGTCTAAAACGCGCGCCCACAGGTCAAAGTAAATAAACATTTGTCTGTACTAACCACCATTTACAGACAATATGGCCGAACAACAGCAGCAGGAGAAGTGGCAGCAGGTGGCCACACTGATCCAGCAGCTGGGGCTGGTGTCCGGGAGTCAGGACGAGCCGCGTACCGCCGCCCAGGTCGCAAGGATGTCGACCCGCCATCTCCTCCAGGATCCAGTGCGGGCGGCCATCTACCAGCGGGGCTGGGCGGACCGCACAGCGGACATCGAGCGGAGGCTCCGTCCGCGCGGAACGACCTCGACGACCAGCAGCCGCACCTCGTCGCTGACGAGGCCACCACCACCGACAACGACACCTGCCCCCACAACACCTGCCCCCGTGAAACCTGCGGAGCCGACACCGGTACCCAGGCCAACGGGGGTACCCCCAGGCCCGGCGGTAAGGGTGAGGACGGAGGCGCAGCAGGCGCGGAACCGCCGGAAGTTCAACCAGCTAAAGGAAAAGAGGAAGGCAAGGGAAAGCGAGGCAAGCCAACAGCGTCGGCTTGCCAAGCGACCTGCGCTAACCTCCGACCCCGAAGCAGCCAGCGCACCTCCAACCGGCCCAACACCGCTGGAACCGATGGAGGTAGACAAACCGGCGCCCAAGGATCAAAGATCCGATGAGCCGGAACAGTCCACCAGCCACACGCCGCCACGCCAACCACCGACCGCGGACGACATATCCGAGGCCGATTGGTACGCGGCGTACGAGGGGCTAGAGGAGATAGCGTACGACCCGGCGTACTATACTCCGATAGGGTCCCCAAAACAGGACTAGAACAATCCACGGGCTCGGGCGAGTTTACCTCAAGCGAAAGCCAGAGGTAGTACAAGCCACCCCGACCCGTAACGACACACCGACACCGGTACAAGTGTACCCCGTGTGGCGGTTTGGCAGGGGAGTATGACACGGTACGCAGCGGCAACCAGTACAAAGTACAGGTACCGCAGCGGCCGGTCTACGTTTTTGTCAACCGCCACCACGGGCTACAGCGCGACATCGCCAACTCTCCCACCGCGCCACAAAGGCACAAGGCGCAAGGCACAAGGCAAGTCGCGCAATACGAGTACCGGCCGCCGGCAATTCGCTCTCTCGTTTTTCCGACACCGTCCGGTACGCATCAAAACCACGACACGTTTTTTTTGTATTTATCCACCACCGATATTTATATATTGAACAACTTTGTTTCTTTACAATAAAGGAAAATTACACCTTGAGTGCGACGTTCGTTGGTTCTTTCTTTCTTGTTATTATAATATTATTATTATTCCGTTTGTTTGTTTTCAACCCGACGGTATCCGTCGATCACCATCACCACATCGACGTCCACGCGGCACAGACCAAGTCCGCGTCATGTGTGTAACCTGCAATATACCACTATTGTTGAAGACTAAGTCTATCGACCGCGTCGCCGTTCAGACCGGTTTTGCGTGCGTGTGCACAATGCCACGACAACCCGTGAACTTTGGTCCTGACGGCAAGTCGCATCGGTCAGCGGCGATTATCGTTATTCACTATCCGTGTCGCCTGTACTGTGTGGCGTACATCGTCCCGCCACCGCCTGTTTAGTAGTGATGGTAAAATGCTATTTTTTTAATGTAAAAAAAAAGCTGCTATTGCTATTTTCTTCGATATTACATAAATGTGATAATTTTAACGTGGGACGTGTGTTGCTAATAGCAGGACTGCTACTATTAACACCTAAATAATAATATCAGTTTTTAGCAATTTAACAGCGGCGATATCACGTTATCCTATCTACGAATCGGGATAAACATAAGGCTTTGATAGTTTTACTATTTTTATTTAGTTAAAATAATGTAATTAAAATAACTAATGACTCATTTAACCATTAAAATAATTATCAACTAATAACTATAAATGTTGATCAAATCATATTGTGTATTTTTAATTTTACATATTTGACCTGCAAAATAATGGAACATGCTAATGATGAAATATGAAGAATTTCATCAAGATGAGGACCAAAGTCAAATTAATATAGCATTACCAGAGTACCCAATCATTGCTTGTAATTCACTATTCGAAAACCCAATTTAAAAAAAAAAATACATCTAATTATACCAGAAGCACTGTAGTTTAAACTATAAATATCTAAAAATATAAATTATACTAAATGATGTAAAACACATAATATCCAAATTAAAACATGTACGAACACGAAACCAAACATTTTGTTTTTATTTAGTTTTAACTAAATCCAAAACCCATGTCTCATTCCTGATTCCTATTTCCTTCTGAACTCTGTAGTGAAAAGTGAAGTGTTGGTTTATTAATTGTATTTTTTAATATACAAAAATGAGTCTAAATAAAAAAACAAGTAGGATTTGGTCACACTTTACTGTAATTGACGACACTCATTTTGCTAAGTGTGATATTTGTAAACGCAAATACTCATTTAAGACAAGTGTCACAAATTTAAAAACCCATCTTGCTAAGTCACACTGGATCCAAATGTCTGCTGTTCAAATAAGTATTTTAATTATGAAAAAATAAATTAAATTAAATTGGGAATAAGATAAAACTAAAAGATTTTTCCTTCAGGCTTCAAACAATAAAAGAAAATCTGTTTAAAATTGTATACTTAACTGATATAAAATACTTATAAATATTGTTAACTTGTTTTTTAATAAAGAGGTTACATAATATAAAATATTAAGACTATTTATTTAAAAAAAAAAAATATATAGGTACCTAATGTCTTAATATAAAAATCAATTAAAAAAATACAGTTAACAATATTTAATATTGAAAATTTTAAAAAAAATGTAAGTCTTTTTGTTTAAAAATTTTATATTTTACCTATGTCAAAAAAATTAAAAGTAAAAAAATATATATATATATAATTAGAGGTACCTATTTAAATAAAATAAAATAATAAAATACATTTTTAGTTATTAAACAATTATTTACAATAAAAAAATTTATAGCCAGAGGAAAACGACCAACTGATTTATGATCCACCATCAGCCCCAACTGCCCAAAGTATATTGCCTTCGACGTCTACATCGCAAAGAGCTCTTAACCAATGAATCGCTGAGTGGCTGTTTAACGACAGATTGTTGGACATCTCGAAACAATATAGCATTCATATCCATAACATATCATTTTATTGACACACAATTTGTTTTAAGATCTGTATTGTTGGGATGCTATGAGTTTTCTGAAAGCCATTCAGGTCTTAATTTATGTAACACGATTCAAGAAACTTTAGATAAATGGAACATAGATAAAAAAAAAAATTATTTTAGCAGTCTCAGATAATGCTAATAATATCAAATCTGCTTTGAATTCATTAAAAGTGAAGAGTTTGGGATGTTTTGCTCATACACTTAACTTAATTGTTCAAGATGCATTAAAGTTACAGTTGTGTTTAATTGACAAAATAAAATGTATTGTCACTCACTTCCGAAAAAGTAGTAGAGCTAACCACAAACTCAATATGTATCAAACAAGCAATGGATCTAAAGCACCCAAAAAATTGATGCAAGATATAAGTACACGGTGGAACTCTACTTACTATATGTTAGAACGTTTTGTTGAGTTGGAAGATGCTATTAGAGGTACTCTAGGATTATTAGATAACCCTCCTCAAACACTCTCAGCAGATGAATGGAAAATTACCAAAGAGCTTATTCAAGTGCTACGTCCTTTTGAGGAAGCTACAAAGGCGGTAAGTGGTAGTAAGTATATGACCGCATCTATAATTTTAGTAATTTCTCAAGGTCTCAAAAATGTTTGTGAGCATATGGCTAGGAAAAACTTTACTGTAGAGGTTATAAATGTTCTACAGCAGTTACTAAGTGGCATGAATCATAGAGATAGATGGGGAGTAATAGAAAATAGTAAGACATTGGTTAGGTGTACATTCCTGGATCCTCGATTTAAATCAATAACATTATCAGATTCTATGCAACATTCGGTGAAAAATTATGTTATTGAGTTAACTGCTGAAATTATTTCTAAAGATCGATCGTCTAATGCTCCACTTTAAGAAGACTCCAATTCCATACCTGAACCAGTTGATAGAGATGAAAATGTTGTGTCTATCTGGAAAACAATAGATACAAAAGTGGCACAACTTCAACCTACGGGTATAGTTACATCTAGAGCGATAATTGAGGTGCAGCGATATTTAGAGGACTCAATTATCAATAGAAATTGTGATCCTCTTAAGTGGTGGTTTGATAATAAACATAATTATCCTTACCTCAATCAGTTGGCCAGAAAAATGTTATGTGCTCTTATAACATCAGTGCCATGTGTTTTCCAAAGCTAGGCTACTGATGAGTGATCGTCGCTGTAACTTGAGCAGCAAAAAAGCAGAAATGTTACTTTTCTTGAACCAAAATACATAAATTGTTTAGAACTGTATTCTTATTTTAAGATATAGTTATGTAAACACTATGTAAACCTAAATATACCTACCTAATTGTTAAATGTATTATTTTTTATTTAATCTAAATACCTACAGACTTATAAAATATATTTATTTTAATATAGAACAAGTAAATTTAATTGAAATATTTTTATAAGTTATTTTGAACAACTTACCTGTCATTAGTGAAGTATAACAATAACATTAACATATTTGTATTTCTTAATCGAGTCGTGTGTCAATTGTGAACTGTTTTATAATATCCACAGAGTACAGACCAGTAAACCACAGACCACAGTGGCACAGTACCTACAACAGAAATCAGATTATCAGAATATAATAATGTAACTCGTTGATACTCGCTAAAATACTATTACAAATAAATACTAAAATACTATAGGAAATAACAGCTTTTATAATAATCTAAATAGTAAATAGCAAAAAAGCAATATCAGTTTAGTAATAGCAGTAGTTACTGTATAGAGCGCGGCGTGATATCATAAATATCATCAGGGTAGGCAATAGGGAAAAATATCAACAAAACAAAATAGCAGTCACTGCTTTTATAATTTTTGATTAGCAGGCTGCTATTGCTAATGTAAAATAGCAGTGCTATTTACACTGCTACTGCTATTTCTTACCATCACTACTATTTAGTATACCACGGACCTGCACGACTGGTGTGCGTGTGTCTCCGTTCGCTAACGCAGTGTTAATTACGTGTATAAAAAGTTTGTACAACTGGTCACTGGATCCGTCTCTCGCCGTTCCTTCTTGAAATTAACGTTCGCAAATGGTTTGTTCGTGGTTCCACGGCCGTATATTACGGATCTCGTTTTGAACGTCGTTGTCGTTGACGAGAGTAACTGTAGGTCTTAACTCATCGTAACGTGCCTCTGACAGTGAGCATAGTGCGATGTTGATACGTAACTCATCGTATCGCGCCGCCGACAGTGAACATAGTGCGTTGCTGTTACGTCATCTGGGTCTGATCTGGCATTGTCGCCACCACGATACAGGTTAGCTATTGGTCGCCTAAATTGCATTGATAGCTGCGGTCAGAACTCGTTACGGGCTTAGTACACTATTTCACCACATCTGTAGAGCGCTAGTAGTAAGTAGGGTCATTACAGTAAGTTATATTATATTTATTTATACATTCTACGATATTGCCCTTTGTCAAAATGACATTTGCGACTTGCAGTTTACTGTAGTAGTATAGTGAATAATGGTGAATAATGCTGCGTTCGTGCTGCATTGTTGGATGCCAAACGGGGTATAAGTCTAACCCTGATACTTTTGTTTCTACTTTCTCTTTTCCAAAAAATTAAAGCTTGAGGAAAAAATGGATAAATGTGATTCCACGAAAGGACCTTATTGTTACCAAAAATTCAGCAGTTTGTGCTAACCACTTTACTGAAGATCAAATTATTACAAAATGGACCTCAGGGTTTGGCGACAATAAAGTGTGTGTTAGTATTTTTTTAATTTAAGTTTAAAAAGCTTAATATTTGAAAAACTTGATTTATTACATATATTTTGTACCTATATTATTTGTTAGAGAAAAAAAAATTGGTTAAATTATGCATACATTTATTGGTGTTATAAATATAATTTAATTTATATAGGTAGGTAATATATTATTATAATTTATAAATATCCTATATACTACCTACCTATGTAATGGAAATTAATAAATTATCATATCCAAGTTTTAATTCAGTACCTACTATTTGATTAATTAATTTAAAAAAACATGGTATAATAATAAATATATATAATTATTTATTTATTCGATATCAAATAAATAATAGACATAACTATTTTTTTTACAATAAGTAGGTACTCATAAATTCATATTTTATTTGCATTACCTTGGTACTTTATTTTAAAATAATATACTTGTTGAAATATACAATTAATATGTAGTACATGTAGTCAGCCTTGACACGTGTGTACAATATAGTAACTAGTTACGTACGAGCATAAGGCCGGGCGCACATTGAGACCAAGGCGACGCAGCGTAGCGTAGGTTAGCGCAGCACAGGAAAAACTGCGCTACCCAAGTGAGCGCATATTACTACGCAGTTCTGACGTTTCACCGTTCATTGTGACAGTTGTTGTTCACCGTTACCAGCATGAGCGATAGTATGATGGCCGAAAATTTAATAAATTTAAGTTCTGAATCAGATTCCGATGACGAATTTGATGAACTTATTTTGTTGTATTCGTTAAGTAAAGAAAAAAAACGTGGAAAAGTAATTTTATGAAAAAAAGACAAAGTCACGGTGAGTTCAATTTGTCATCGGAATTTTCTGACAAACAATTTTACTTTCGCTTGGACCGAAATCAATTTAATGAAGTTCTTAATTTAATACGAGATACAATTTATTCATTTGGATGTAATGCTCAAAAGCCGATTGATCCCGAAGAAAAACTGGCAGTCTTTTTAAGGTAAGTTTTTTAACAATAAAATAATAATAAAGAATAATTATATTATTATTATACAATAAGGCCTAAGCATTGAAATGTTGTACATTTTATTTTAACAACAAAGTTAAGAACACCAAATAAAAACAAGATCCTTTAGTTAATGATTTTATGTTATATTAATATGGTAAATCATATTTATTAAACTTCTAAAGTAAATTAAAAAAACTATTCTGTATAAGTCAATACTTAATATTAGAAATAAAGTAAGAAATAATATTAGATAACTATAAATAATAACTTGCTATAATGTAATTTTAAAACATTATTCTTTATAAGTATTGATATAATGAACAATACCATCTTGCCCATCTTGGTTCTCGACATTTTCAGAAACTGAACTTTCGCGAGAAGTAGATGAATTTTCTCCGTATGACCACGTAGAAGAAGACTGAGGTTGACTGTAGATATTTTGTTGTATCTGTTGTGACTGAGGTTCTGGAAAAGCATTGTTTTGTTGGAAATTCAAAAGATCATACTCTACTTGCGAAACAACTTCAAATAATTTATTTTTTATAATAAGTTGAGATGCCGGTGGCATTTTATAAGTCGTTTGGTACATGGACATAAAGAAATGGTAGAGCGGATCATTTGGAGTTTTGATTTCTACCAATTTTTGACGTTCAATTGATCTTTCTTTGGCTCGTTTTTCACGGTTCGCTATGGACTGTTGAATTAGGTTGCCTATATCATTTTTTTTCAATTTTTTTGGTGGTTCTTTAAAAGTAAATTGCATTCCAGATGACGAAGGAGTATCTATTAATTTTTCAACAGAATCATCTCGTTCCTTGTTGCTGTGCACTTCATTATCTCCTCCCAGTACAAAATTATTCTCCAAGATTGGTGTCTGCAGTGTCTCTATAATTTGACTATCCTCAGTGTCTGCATTGTCAGATCGGTCATCATCACTGTCAACTATATTGGCACTACGTTTTCTGTTTTCCATGTATGGCAGCAAAAACTCCATTTGTTTCTGGAATTTCCACTGTCTTACTGTCTCGGCTGCAGCTCCACTTTTAAAAATTTTTTTTTGCCTCCGTAGAGCATCTCTATGACAGTTCCTCAATTTATTCCACATTGTTTTCACTGTTTCACCTGGCACAATTTTAATATTTTTTAAATATTTTTTTTCATAAGCATTTAAAGTTTGAATTTTGACAAAATGTATCAAAATCTCGAAAATGATCAATCATTGTAATTAAAAAATTAAAAAAATTTTTAGTTTTAATTTTTAAAGGTTGAAAATTTAAAACAAAGATTCTTATAAATAGTTCATATTGTTACCAAAAAATCTAAAAATATATAAACACAGTTTTTTTTACAGCATTTTATTAAAAAAAACTGTTTTCCCGGTTGGTTATAGGTATTTAGCTTCAGGAGATAGTTACAAAAGTATCGCATATAGTTATAGAATGGGGGATCGAACTGTCTCAAAGATTATAAATGAAGTGGCCACTGCTATATGGAACAACATGCAACCAATATATTTACCAGAACCCACAATGGAAATGTGGAAATTGATCGCGAATGAATTTGAACAGATATGGCAGTTTCCACACTGCATTGGCGCTCTAGATGGCAAACACATTGTGATTAAAAAACCACCCAAAAGCGGAACTTCATTTTATAATTATAAACAAACATTTTCCGTGGTTTTAATGGCAATAGTTGATGCTCACTACAAATTTATTAGTATTGATATAGGCTCCATGGGAAGATTCAGTGATGCCAATATATTTTCGAGTGGTGCGTTAGCAAAAAAACTTAATAAACAAACTTTAAGACTTCCTCCACCAGCAGCTTTAACCGACTATGATCAAATACTACCCTATGCTTTTGTAGCAGATGAAGCGTTTCCACTATCCGAAAATATTATGCGACCTTATCCAAATAGAAGTGTTACAAACAATTTTAAAAATAAAGTGTTTAATTATAGACTTTCTCGAGCACGGCAAACTGTTGAATGCACTTTTGGAATCTTAGCATCACGATTCCCAGTGTTTAGAAGACCTTTTGAAACTAAAATTGAAAGTGTTGATAATGTTGTAAAAGCAGCTTGTGTATTACACAATTATTTAAGAAATGAAACAATAATTTTAAATAATATGCAAGGTGATAGTAGTGAAAATGAAATGCCTGAAAATCAATTACTGCCATTAACCAACAACAACACTAGAAGTGGATCAAATGATTTTTGTGTAAGACAAAAGTTCACAGATTATTTTAACACAGTGGGAAGCGTACCATGGCAATCGGATAGTGTTTCTAGAGGTAAATACTAAGTACTAACTACTTTTATTTGTATAAAATGTTGATATAATATACACTTTATAAAAACTATTTTATTTATTTGTCATTTTGTTATTGTTTTATTATAATGTTTTACTAGGTATAAATCAATTTTCCACAAAATTATAAACTTTAAATTTGTATGAAAAATAAATACGTAAATCTTTACTTGTTATTAAGTTTATTATTATTAACTTATATATTATTATAATTTGGTATTCACAAATCAGTTGTAAAATAAATTAAAATCATCATTCATAATCAAAGATAAGAAATTTAGTATAGTTATACAGAAATTTGTGACAAATATCGTTGACGTATAATGTATATTATGTATAATATAGGACATAATTATAATTAAACCAAGATAATGTTTAAAATAGCCAATGTTATTCTCCAATGTTTAAAATTAGATAAAATCAAATAACATAAGTGAGTTATCGTAAAATATCTTATCTGTATTTGGTAAGTTTGTCGATAATCCAGATTTCATTTCAATAGTACGCCGAACACTTTTGATCTTCAAATTCTTACTTACTCATACTTAATTATTACAATTGTTCATAAAACGAGAAAGAGAAATATTCATATCTATATTACAATTTATACGTTGTACATCATAACATGTTACATGCATGAAAAATACCTACGTGTTTTCATGAAACATTGATATAATTGATATAAAAATTAAATTAAGCCCCGAGCCCAACTGATTAATATAATATCAGTAAATTTGTTTTATTTTAGTTATATTAGCAATGAAAGAATATTAATTATAATAGTACCTAATATTAATATTATTTTAGGTAATATAAATGAATTGAATACTAGGTACTTACCATTATTTAATTTAAGTTCAGTGGCAATCTTTTCCCATATTTCATTTTTCAACTTGCCCTTCATATAGTCGGCATGACTAGTGTCATATAAGACATTGTAATGTCTGACGGCTTCAATTAAAGTCTCTTCCATCGTAATTTTTAAAAAAGCTTGACTTATTTTACAAGTTTAATTAGTTTAGTTTCAAATTATAGTAATATCGTAATTCACAAAGCTCGTGCACGTGTGCAGTAATCTGTGTCGCGAGGACTACGTGACACAGGCCAACATAGACACAGCACTGCTCTGCCCTGTCCTGCCTCTCAATATGCGCTAGTAAGTTCTAGCTAATAGATTACAGAAAACTACGCTGCGCTGACCTACGCTGCGCTGCGTCGCCTGCGTCTCAATGTGCGCCCGGCCTAAGACTCACTCTCTTTACGGATGTAACATGACCTCGGTCGTGCATATATATAGGGCCTTTGATGTATGTAATATTCACTTGCACAGACGTCGTTGTACAGAGCGTATACGATGTGTGTGTACTGTCACAGTTTAATTGTCCAGTAGTACGTTATTATATATTATACTTATACATAATCATATTGTCGTGTTATTACTTATTATATTAATGCTAACATCATTAGTCCGTCAAGCTTCACTTTCAACAATACTTATTAATGAATAAACATATTTTGATTTAACATTTCTAAAAAGTTATTTAAATAATAAACTTCTTATAATTTTCCTAACATAGCATTGGCATTCTAAAGAAATCCAATGAAATTGTATAGATAATATTGTATAAAATAAATAATGTTTAATTTTTATTTGCTACTTTTTTCAGATAAATTTAAAATATCCAAAGTTGAAAGAAGATGCAATTCCTTGTTTATTTCCTGGCCCAAAATATCTTTCAAAAACAATTAAAAAAAGAAAATCACCTACAAAGCGAGTTAACTGCATGTGTACACCCACTACTTCTAAAAAAATGAAACCATTAGAAGTAATTTTTTTCATTATTTCTTATAATTGTATAAGTTTAGTAAGTAAATATATATTATTTCTATATCTGAAATTTTGTGTGTGTTCAAACCTTGTTTTAAACTATTAATATTTGGAATGATTCGACAAGCAGCTGGTTCTAACGACCATCCTACAGGTCCCACTTTCTTACATCTTTGTCGTATCTTATCAATTTATTCTGTACTGCGTCGCCCTAAATCTGGGAATTGTACTATACTTGATTCTCAGGCCCCTAAATTTGTTTATCATAATTAAAAGAAATATTTCACTGTGAATCAACACCAAGACAGGAAAAGATAAAAAGTTTAAAGTCTAAAGTTGACATGCTTATTGATCAAGGTTCATGGGAAGCAGATGAAATATTTGCAGATCACAACTACAACAATTCTTCTGTATTATGTTGTATAATTTACTACACTACTGGGTACGTATCAAAGAAGATTGCAAAAAATACATCATGTCAAATTTGCTTGAGCGCATTAAAGACTAATGATAAATTTGCTGATTTGCCGGAAGCTGAGTTGATTAACTTAAAATCAAAAGGAGGATTGACACATCCCAATTTACGCTTGTTTCAATTTCTATACAAAGTAGAAGAATGTTTTGCTAAACACTGTAATCAAAAAAATGTGTTTGATCTTACAGTTGAAGATGCTTTAAGACTTAAGTTTTCATTTCCCTGCTTTGAACATAAAAATGAAATTGTCACATCTATTCTGACTAATTTCATTGTAATGCGAATGCGCCAATTTGCTGTTCAAGAAAATCGCTTTGATATAAAAAAAGCAGACAAAAGAAAAAAATTGCCAAATTGATCTCAACTTAAGAGAAACTTTAAAGTTTTATATTATTTATAAGCTCATTTTATTTAATATTTTATTATAATTAATACCATGGTTTTTAGTTTTTTTAGTAGTTTAGTTGCATTATTTAATAAATTCAATCCTTCAGGTGTTTTATTTAATTTGCTTTGATATTATTGTCTGGTGGCTGTTGTAATTAAGGTTAACATAAATTGTGTAACACTAGAATGAACTTATTTGAAATTCTTTGTTACAGTTTTGAAGAAGCTGAATTACTATAATTTTTTCAATATTACAATAATAATAGTAAGTATAAAGAAAATAGGTATATATATTCAATAGGTAGTGAAAATTATTTGTATTTAATTACAAAACAAATGAAGAGAATGTCGTTTTTAGTGTGTCAAACAATTTAATATTATATAGGTATATTATTAATTTTAATTTAATCTGTTGTAGTATAGTTGATCCAGTAATAAATAAGTAAATAACCACTGTCCACCTCAACTTGTAAGTTATAAATTATGAACCATTGTAGGTAATGATAAAATAATATTAGGTATTTATGAACAGTTTAATAATTATATACAGGGTGATTTTTTTATCGAAGAACACTCATTATTTCAAAAAGTATTAATGTTTAAGAAAATATTTTTTACATAGTTTCAAGTTGTTAAAAAACAATATTTTTATTAAAAAATTATATTTTTAAATATTTTTTATCCTTTTAATTTTTTAAGTTTTTTACTTTTTTGAATGACAACATCTAATTTTAATTTGATATTCAAAAACAGAATATTTTTCTGATTATTTTAATACATAAAAATTGAATTTAGGGCAAGTAGTTTATGAGTTATAAGTATTTAAAGTTTAGATGAGCGGAGTAGAGGACAAACATTTCGCGGGGTAACCCCGTACCACTCTACTCCGCTCATCTAAACTTTAAATACTTATAACTCATAAACTAATTGCCCTAAATTCAATTTTTATGTATCGAAATACTCAGAAAAATATTCTGTTTTTGAATATCAAATTAAAATTAGATGTTGTCATTCAAAAAAGTAAAAAACTTAAAAAATTAAAAGGATAAAAAATATTTAAAAATATAATTTTTTAATAAAAATATTGTTATTTAACAACTTCAAACTATGTAAAAAAATATTTTCTTAAACATTAATACTTTTTTAAATAATGAGTGTTCTTCGATAAAAAAATCACCCTGTATATAATTGTTTTCATCATTATTCATGATCATTATTCGGTAATCATAAAAAAATTTAATATTGCATGATTATTTAAAGTTCTAAAAAAATATATGTAGGTGGATCTTTAGTTTAAGAATTTGAAGGTATATTGTATATCAGTGAATGTGCATATAATTGTTCAAAAATATTGGCGACATTAAAAATTGTAATTGTAATGTATTTTCATTGACTGGCAGCTGTTATAGAAATGGTCAACAAATAACAATTTGAAACTATCAACCTGATAAATAATAATTTGAATCATTTATATTCCAGGCACCTATTTGAATGCACAATAACAGTGAATACATTGTGGCTTATTTATTTAACCTATAAAAATTAATTTTATTATTTAAATAAAATTACGATATAATATTATTTTTTATAAATTATAATAATTATTGTAGGTACTTATTATATTATAAGTTAGGTAAATCACAGGTACTCAATTATAGCTTTTTTATGTCATTCATAAAATATCTCTTGGTAGTTATGTAGGTAATTGGCTGGGCAGCCTGGGCTTGAAGATTATTTAAACAGTTTTGAAAATGATTGGATGTTTTTTAATTTCCCTACTACCATCCCTTAAAAATATATATCGACATATAGATACATAAATAAATATATTTATTACTTATATTAAATGTATGATCATACATTTTATATTTCTATCATTTAGGATAATATACCAATAGTAAAATATAACCCTACTCACTACTAGCGCTTTACGCGTGTGGTGAAAATATGAACTACTGAACCGTAACACAATCTGACCGGGTAGCGGGCCGGCGATAGCTAACCTGTAGTGGAGAAACAGATTAACACAGGGAGCACTGGTGTACTATGGATGGGCGGTTTCCCCCCTAAATCGATTCGGGACTCCGGACTACGTTTGTATCTTATTCCGCGGATTTACGTCTTTTTTCAAAATTAAATTAAGATATTAAATAGGTTTTTTTTTTGATTTTGACATATTTAATTTCCCTAATATTTATCCGTGTACAATAAAATGTCCCTGTCATTGGTTAGTATATTTTCTTACGCTAACTGTAATTTAAACTCTCGGAGTGCCATTGAAGGTGAGCAAATTTTGAATGGTCACCAAATAATTCTATGTGGCAAGATTGAAACGGTAATTATTTTTAAAATTATATAAATATTTTAGTACCTATTAGGCATTTATTGGTATTATGATTGTACTCAATTTTTAGGAGAATACTATACATATTAAAGCCCTAGTATTACAGACATCACATATACATGAATTGCCACATGAAGTGAATGGGGAATTGGTAAGTTAATCTTTAAGTATTCTGCCTTTTACCCGTAGTTGCAAGGCTGGTGCTTCAGAATGCTGCAAGCATGTGGTGTCTGTTCTTCTGTTATTGAACAGGTAAATAATTACTTAAGTGACTTTTTTTACATTCAATTTGATTAAAAATCTAGTACCTAATACAATTGTGCATAACTTATAATTTTAGAACTCCAATTGCTGATTTGGAAACATTGTCATCAACTGATGTAAAATGCCAATGGACAAAATTAAGACAGCCGACATTAACACAGTACAAACCATTACCTGTGGATCCGTTTGATTGTTGTTATAAAAAGACTTGTGAAATGAATGTTGATATTGATGGAGAGACAGTTAGGTATGGTTAACCTATAATGGTTATACTTTTAAACTATAATTGTGTTTATTAATTTTTATTGTAGATAAATTCGGTCGTATACAAATAAAATATGAATAATTAATGTTGTAAACACTTGTATTAACATTGTTCAATGGTTATCGTGTCAGACAATCATCACACCGGAACCAATTATCTGTCTTCACATATCCTTTATATATTATCAATAGTTTTACCTATAGTTACATATTATTTATTAACTATGAGCATAGGCGCAATTAGGGGTAACTTGGGGCTTGTACATTTTATAAAAAAATTAATTTGCTGTCTTTTCAATTTTGAAGGTCGAGGTTTATTTCTTGTGAAGCAGCGTCAGCATTGGCTCTCCAAAAATATGGCCGACATTTACCAAGTAGGTTTTAAACCAAAATAATAATGTCCAATCTATTGAATTGATATTATCTTCACATCCATTAATGGACATCTTGGAAAACTACTCAGTAATGGACATGGGAGATTGCTGTAAGGATTTTTATTATTCAAAACTTTCAACAGATGCTGCTGGAATCATGAATCGTTCCCTGAAAGACAAAACTTTTTGGGATTCATGTGGGCAATTCAGAATTACAGGGAGTCGGTGTTACAGCTTGTATACACATAAAAAAACACTAAAAACAGATGAACAATGGTAATTTAAGTCCAGTAAATATTTTTGGGCAAATTCTTTTACAAACAAATTTGTTAAACATGGAATTGAATCCTAAAATACTTCTAGAGATTTATATGCTAGTTGCTCAAATCAAAAAATTGTGGAATGCGGTTTGGTAATTAATTCAAAAAACCCTTGGTTAGGTTACACACCAGATGGTGTGATAGTAAATAATGAAAATGTGCCAATAAAATTAATAGAAATAAAATACCCCTTTAAAGGTAAAAGTTTAAGTATTAAAGATTTAATACCCAGGTTAAATTGTATTATTCAAAACTCAGATGATTCTCTTAGTCTTAAAAAAAATCATTCCTACTATCCACAAGCCCAAATGGGTATGGTTTTATTAAATGTTCAGATGTGTGATTTCATTATATATAGTAATTTATGATAATAATTATACTGTAATAAATGAATCTATGATGAGCTTTACTGTAAAGATTTATTTTTTAGTTTAAAAAAAATATATTTTGAAAGATTATTACATGAAGCATGCACTTACACATGCTAAGTTACATAAAATAATTTTTATTGTTCTGTTAGTTGTTTATAATATTGTAAAATTAATTAATTATTTTAAATGTATATTACAATAAAAAGATTTTTTAATCATAATTTGTAATTTTTTAACTTTGATACAAAACTTATGAAATGAGAAATTAAAATGTACATTATTACTTAGTGTTGAGTGAAAATATAAAAAAGGTATTAACTATTAAATTCATCCAGAGAAAAAATTGGTGGACTAATATCACATAATACTTCAACTATTGTCATTATATCAGAAGCTAGATGAACCCAGGCAAATGTCTGTTGAAAAATTTTAAAGCTTTTCAATCTTTGGTTTATTCGTTCAATATGAACTCTGGCATTGGCAATATTTTTAGATAATTAGAGCATCATCCTTATTAAATTGTGTTTGATTTTTTAAAAGAGGTGGTATTATTATAGAAATGTTTTTTTTTTTACAAATATCATCACTAAGAAACCCTTTATCATTCATGATGGCATCTGGTGGTTGCATATTTTCAATTATATTGCTTTGTTCGAAAATAGCTTTGTCTGATGATCTGCCACCATAAGGTTTACTTATAAAACTTATTAAGCCGCCTGGAGTAATCCCTACTAAAAACTTTAAGGTGGAGGTAGATTTGTAATTACTATAACATTTAATACGACATGTTAAACATTTAGGCCTTTGCACAGAAATTTCTGTAGAATCAAGTACCACCCTTACATTGTTAAAATTGTCAAAGCAAAATGGAAGATTTGATAAAATGTCTTGCTTAGAAGGCCAATAAACCAAAGACTGCATTATTTGGACAAGTTGGGAGATCATTAAAATATAGGTCGAACGACAAGTTTCAGAAGTTAAATCATTAAATAAAATACTTAAAATAGCAAATGATAGACCTTGTTTTAATTTTAAAAATACAATTATGATACGCTCTTTTAAATTAAGTCTGTGTGTTCTCTTATCAGGAAAATATTTTTTGTGCAAATTAATTATTTCATTTAAAACATTAAAAGAACAAATTCCAGTCATGGTAATTAATTTTTTTTTGTGATCTATTAAAGAAATCAATGGAGCTACAATTGACACTTGTTTTCCGTTGTCTTGTGTGGTTTTAAGTTGATTAATAATATTATTGGCAACTGTTATTTCATTGGTTTGGTTGGATGTCACACTATCATCGTCCACTTGAATTGATGTTGAAGAGCTAATGTTCAAATTCTCATCATGACACTAAAATCAGATTAGAAAATATGTATGGTGGGTATAAAAATAAACTAATTTCTTACTTCATCCTCAATTTGATCTTGAGATACTCTTTTTTTTGGAGATGATCTATTTTTGGGAATTCATATGTCAAGAATTCATATTATATTATTTAATTTATATTTATTAATTGGTGCCCTTTCAAATTGTATTTTTTATTTAGTTATATTAGTAGTTAGTTACCTATATAATTAAGATGAATGATATTATTTTGGAAACTGGTTTTAAAAGTATTTATTCAGATGTACTATATAATAAAGAAAAATCATTAAATTTACTCAAAAGTGGACATGTGATTAATGTAAAAGAAGTAAAATCGTTCAAAACAAATCGTTTTATTTTTGGCAATGTTATAAGACAAACATCAGTGACTTCTACACCATACAAAGTTAAAATTGGAGTAAATATACTTATTTATTACTGATACACAAACTTGAACTTAATTCTGTAATTACTAATTATTAACAGCTAGATGAAACAAGAAAAGTTAAAGTAGCCAGCTGTGAATATGCTGCTGGTGAAGGACAACGATGCAAACACATAGGTGCACTTTTCTGTTATATTAATAATGAAGAAACACTGGCTAAAACAGATTTACCACAATCATGGGGACAACCATGAAAAAGAAGTGAAGACAAGTATAAAAAAGGAAAAAGGATTTGATTTATTCCATGCTAAAAAGCCAAGACTAGATATACCGGATACTAGTATTAAATCAATTATTGAAAATAATGACTTATTAGCATTGCCATGCTCTTTAAGTTATAATCTTAAAGCTGAATTAAAAACTGAAAGTTAGAAGTAGAACCTGCGAGGACACATTCAATTCAATCATAGACAGTGTAGAAGAAGAATTAACTTATGATATAAATAATCAATTTTTAAACAACAGGAACTTAATAATATTAATTTTTTAAATAATTCTTATTCTTATTTTCCTCTTAATGAAAATGAGTTAATATTTTTTAGTAATTTTATATATATTAGGGGTGGGCAACTGGCGGCCCGCGCTAGATTTTCAAATTGCATCATACAATTTTAAAGTTTATCGTCTATAGTCTACAATCTACAATCGAATAGTCTATACTCTATCTTATCGATATAATAATTGTTATCTGGTATTGAACATCGTTAAATGTATAAATGTCATAATATAGTTAATAGTTATAGTATAGGTATATGCACACTTATGTATACGTATAGCTTTTAACTATAGCTGTTTGTAACCATATCAGTTTCTTCGTATCGTTCGTGTCATACTGTCGTTGAATTTATTATTTTCGTTTTTTGCTAATAATGCAATGTGCCTAATAATGCCCGCAAAAAAGCGTAAAATTGATGATGAAAATAGAACTTTTAATACCTCATGGGAGAATGACTATTTATTTACTATTAACAAACAAAAAAAACCTCAATGTCTAGTTTGTTTAATCGTTATTGCGGTCTTAAAAGAATATTATTTAAAAATACATTGCATGACAAATCATTTGTCCAAATATGAAAAATACATTGGTGATGCAAGAGAGAGTGTTGTAATTGATCTAAAAAGAAAACTTCAATCACAACAAAATGTGATGACAAAAGCAACAACTTCACAACAATCAAGTTTATTGGCTTCATATATAATTTCTAACGAAATAGCAAAATCTGAAAAATCATTGAGTGATGGCGAATTTGTTAAAAACTGTGCAGTAAAAATGGCTAAATCAATAAACGAAAACAAAATTGCCAGTGAATTTGAAAAAATATCACTTTCAAGACGCACAGTGACACGGCGTATAGCTGACACTGATAGTGCCATTCGTAAGACATTGCAAACTATAATGACGGATTGTGCATATTTTTCGATTGCATTGGACGAAAGCACAGATGTTTCAGATGTAAGTCAACTTTTAATATTTGTTAGAGTTGTATCTCCACAGTTTGAAGTGTATGAAGAGCTATTAGAATTATGTTCCTTGTATGGAACTACCAAAGGAAGTGATATATTTAATGCAGTAAAAAACCCAATTGAACCATTTGGTGGATTCAAAAAAATATTATCGGTTGTGGCAGATGGTGCCAAAGCCATGGTTGGCAAAAATATTGGTTTTGTTTTTTTATTACGCAAATCTAACGTTAATGTTCCTGCTATACATTGTATTATTCATCAGGAATCTTTGTGTGGAAAAATAATGAAGCTTGACGTATTTAAAATTACTTACTTCATTAGAGGAGGCAACCGTAGTTTAAACCACCGTAATTTTATAACATATTTGGAGGAATTTGATTGTGAGTATGGTGATTTACTATTACACACGGATGTACGCTGGTTAAGTCGTGGAAAGTGTCTCGAACTTTTTTTTGTTTTGAGAAAACAAATACTTGAGTTTCTTAAAACCAATATTAAAACTGACACTACGTATTTGGAAAACCAAATGATTGATAAACAATTTTTATGTTCATTGGCATTTTTAATTGATATTTCTCAACATTTAAATAAATTAAATTTACAACTACAAGGTAAAAAACAAACAATTTCTCAAATTATTGGATACTAATACATTTTCCGTGTAGTGAAATTATAAAAATAGAATTTTACGACCAGTTTAATTTTGAACATTGCATTACCCACTTGGACGAATTAACTGTAGAATTCGAAAGACGATTTGAAGAAGTTGAACTTGGCGGTTGAAATTGAAAAGCAAGATGTTGAACTTCAATTAGAATTATGTGAGTTGTAAACATATCCATTATTATTATCTACAAAAGAGGTTGACATAAGCTTTTGGAAAAAATTACCTATTCTAAAATATCCACTTTTACGAGAGTTCGCATTAAAAATGTTATCCATGTTTGGAACTACTTACATTTGTAAATGTACATCTTCAAACATGAAACATATTAAATCAAAACATAGAAATCGACTTACAGATGAAACATGAAATAACCTACTTCATGTTTCTTCGTCCGAAATAGAAGTCGATTTTGCCGCGATGTCATTAGAAGCCGCACATGCTTAAAACTCACACTAAACAAATAACTATTTATATTTAATAACACTTTTTGTATTACCTACCTATTACATTATAAACAAAAGAAATGCTAATTAAAATGTATATTTTGAATGACCTTTTTTTTTTTTTTTTTTGGTTTCCACTTTGAGTTGCCCATCCCTGGTATATATGAGAAAAGAAAAATTAAAATTTGTTTTTAAAAAAGTTTAAATCAGTGGTTAGATTGTAGATTATATAGAATTTCAGCTAGTAGCAAAGCACACAAAATAAAAACTTTAAAAATATTATTAAATAAACAATAAATGAACAAAAGAACACTCATTTAACTTACAATTACTATTTATTTTTCACAATGTAAATCTCAACAACATAGTCTTATTAATTCATTTTTAAAGGAACAACGGTTGCTGACTAGCGTCTAGTCGAGACTAATACTAAAAATATTTCTGCTCAGCACCAGTGTCCAGCTAGAGCAGTCTGGCCAACCTCATATTTAACACTCGGCCTTCCTGCCTTAGCTATATCCTCATAGCATCTTATACATAATAATATAAAATATAATAAAACACAATAAAACACAAAAAAAAAAACATTATTTTATCACAGTTATCATAGGTGTCATCATACATAATCATCTAACCTTGAAGGTTTCTTTCTGATCCTGTCTGATCTCCTAACTTCATTGTTATTGTTCCTGTGTTCTGGTGGTGGATCAGCCTGCGTGTGAGACACGGGGGTGTCAGAGACAGGGTTGCTGGCCTCCAGACTGGCGTACAGCTGTACCCCTTGCGTCGCCTTCTTGGTGAGGTTCGACTGTATAGCCTCAATGCGAACCTGCTGGAGTCCGGTCGTTTCTGTGACTGTCCTCATCTGCCGTATTGAGTCCCTCTGTTGAGTGGCAATTTCTTCTAACAACCGCGTGATTTTGCTCAGGTGACTGATTACTTGCTGCTGGTAGGCCGTTGTGGCATCCCTGTCCTCTTGAATCGCCTCCAGGCCTTGGCAGCCTTGGCTCGCCCCCGCGTTCACTCCATCCTGCCTTCGGTGCCTCTTAACCTCTTGAACTTCCTCAGACCTGGTGGTCAGTCGTCTCTTGACCTGCACGCTCGAGGACTGGGTATTCCTGGGAATTGACACCATCAACTGCGGCTTCCCGAATCCCGTTTTGTTGACCTGACGGGCAAGCGAGTCCACTTTGTGGTACCGGATCCTCAAATCCCACTTCTGATTTATTAAATAAACAATAAATGAACAAACAAACACTCCTTTAACTTAAAATTACTATTTATTTTTCACAATGTAAATTTCAACAACATAGTCTTATTAATTCATTTTTAAAGAGACAACGGTTGCTGACTAGCGTCTAGTCGAGACTAATACTAAAAATATTTCTACTCAGCACCAGAGTGCCCAGCTAGAGCAGTCTGGCCAATCTCATATTTAACAATATTAACTTGTGAAAAACAACAATCTTTAGCCATACGTTTATTAAGTTCTAAATCTTTAGTTGGACAAATTGCAATTAATGCTTCATATGGAAATGAAACTGAAAATGATGCTTTTGAAGCCTATTATAAATGTTTTAATGTTACAGTTATTAAATGTGGTCTATCTAAAGTATCCGTAGTTTTGTGCTTCAACAGATGGGATTGTAGTTATTGATGGTATACCTAAAAAAGTGCTAGAAATTAAATGTCCAATAAGTTGCAATGATAATTGATCCTATTTTAAATGTTTCAAATGTTAAATATTTACAGTTAACTAATGGGAAAGTAACATTAAAGAAAAGTCATACATACTACACCCAATAGGTCATGTTCACCTCAGGGTTAGATGAATGTGATTTATATATTTTTAACCCGTAAGTGGTACGACATTTTAAGAAGTAAACCAAAACAAAAACTGCAGCGGTCTATGGGACCGGACCATACCACTTACGGGTTAATTTCATTGAACCTTGTTTAACCATGTTTATTAAACGTTGGTGAAAAGTATCCTTACACAATTTGACCATAGATATACACTTCAACATTTATAAGCAAAATAATGAATAAAACAGTTTATTCTTAAATAATGTGATAAAATTTAAAAAAGTTAGAATTTACTAATCGACATATTATATTTTTAAATAGTTAAATTATTTTTCGAGTACCTAACTATTGAGTAATAATTGAATCTTCTAACAACATTAGATAGTTAGGTATCATGTAACAATATAAAATCAATGTAACTTATTGAAATGTTTGGAAAAAAACAAATTGCACATTAATTTCAGACTTTTTCAAAATTATAATATAAAAATAAAAACAAACTTAATGTATGAAATGCAGTCATTATAAACAAAAAGAAACATGACATCTAGTACTTGTAAGTAACTATTCTGTGCTTACCTATTGCTTATAACTTCTGAATATACATATCAATATTCTTAAGTAGTTTTTAAAAAACAATATTACCAATAAAAAATCAATATAAACCAAATATTGGTTGGTGCAAAGTTAGCAAAAAAAAAATCAAATTTAAATATATTTTACTATTTAAATTTATGAACATAATAAAACAATGTCAACACGATTAAAATTATACATAATCTTCATCTGCACTACACATAAGATATCATTTTGAATGTCTTACCAGTATTAATAATTTATTTTTTGACGAAATCTGCGTATTTTGTATGAAACGGTTTTTGTGTGTTTGATAACACGGCGCTTATCAATTGAACACAGTTTGAAGGGAAATCAATGATTTGAAGTTGTGTACGAAACGGCTGGTTGTAAATATTGTACGGATTTATCACAGACTTTTATAATACACTAGATAAGTAACTCTCGAGATTTATTAAAGCTCGGCTTATCAGTTGCCGCCATTTTGTCGGTTGGCAAAACATTTAAGATTATTCTACATAATATTATAGACTAGAAATATTCTATAACAATTTATTATTTATTATTTAATTACTTAATACAATTTAACGTAATTGTATTAAGATACAACTTACAACTTTACAAGTATAGTCAGTGAATTGTACAATTGCTTGAAAATTAATTATAATGCCCGTTTCATGTGCTGCTTATGGATGCTCAAACAGATATCAAGCTGGACAAAATATACATTTCTTTCGGTGAGTTAAGTTATAATAATAACCAATTAGTAAAGATAATGCAGAATATTCTGCGAAAAATGATTTTAATCTGACGCTTAAATATCTATTTATTAGTAAGGAAATTAAAGTAATTTTATAGGGTCGTTCCAATAGACTACAATTGCAATCTAATTCACTAAATATATTACCATCAAAAGACAAGTTATTAGTGCATTGGTACATAATATTTTTATTTAAATTGGGTATGTTAAGGTTAGTTAGATTATTTGTTAAATTTAAAAGGATTTTTTCAGCCTCCATTATTATTTAAAAGAACTTTCCGAACCTAAAATTAAGCCACCATTTTGTCTTAAATTTACTAATTTACCATAATATGTTGGTGAACAATAATTATGGTCTGATGTTTTTTTGAAAAGACTTTTTATGCAAGAATCACAATCAAGATGTTTAATTATTTTTAAAATAATATATCCTAAGATGTAGTATAAAATATTTTCCTTAGCACTTTGTAAACAAAGATTAATTAATATTGTTAATTAATTGTAGTCTATTTAAAATATCTTGATTAGCCTCACCCATTTGACAGTCGTCATTAAATTCCTCTTTCTTATTCCACTTAAAGTCAAATAATCTGCACATTACATCTTCATCAAACGTGTTACAATTACCAGTATTTTTTATTTAAATGCATTTTTTATTAAGATTTGTTTAATGGCAGTTTTTAGTCTTACTACATTCGGATTGTTATTTGAGCCGCCTCTTTTTCTAATATGAGCAAATAGCACTTCTACGTGGTCCTGGGAAAATTTGTAAGTTAAGATATAGCTAAAATTGATGGAATCGTTTGCTACAAGTTACAGAAACTGACGTCTGACGAGTTACGAAAGTTTATCGTTAAGCAAAAAGCAATTTTAATTTTAATTAATTAAAATCACGAGGATTGATAACATCTATATTTTGTAAACAGTACCCAAACTGCATATGGCGACCAGGCGTCCTATTTGTATGCATAGTCTATACAGAGTCGGCTATCTAGTTTAATAATATATCTATGGTTGGAATACACACCACAGAACAAACAGAAGGGAATCTTATTTCATTTAACATAGGCTCTTATGGGAGATGATAAAACCACGTCCGACATTTCTAAAATTTAAACGTGCTGCCACGTGCCGGGAATTTCTCTTTTTTTCTTTATATTGTGCAGCACTGTTTATTCGTTCAAATTTCTAATATATTATTATATTCAAACAATCAAAACGATTTTTTTTAAGAAATTGCATTTTTACCATTTATCTAAGTACAGAACCTAAGAAAAACAAAAACTATACATATATTTATCACTATCATTTAGTTGATGAATGAACAAAAATGCATAGGTACACAGAAGATTACAAAACAAATTACGTACGCTGGTTTTAAATAATCTAAGCAGTACTAATTTTATTTTATTTTTTTGGAACTTGTGTAATTAGTACACGCAATTGCTAAGACAAATTAAAGATTTATTCTGAATAAATATACTGGTAGGTAGAAGTATGTGACATTGTTACATAACCTGTACCTATAGTCAGTAGGAATACCTCAAATTCACATTTACTATTCTCTAAGAGCTGTAAAATTTAAATTATTACACAGTATAAATTCAATTTATTTTTATTTTTTTGTAAAGTATCAAAATCAAATTACATCATCGTAAACAATAATTACAAATACCTAATAAAATAAATATAACAATCAACACGCATAACAAGTTAACATTATAATTTATTTAATAGGAAAATTTAGACTTTGATAGTTACCAAATGAGAAATATTAATTATGAAAGCACGTTAGTACTTGACTAAAAAATTACAAAAATAATAAAGTTAAAATAACAATAATAGTAATAATAATAATAATAATAATAATAAAATTATACAAACAAAAACCATTTTTTATAAATGTTCTAAAATCGTTAATTTTCTATTTTTCCTAACTCTTTCTGTTACTAAAGATTTATTTAAAAATGTAATGGATGAAAAAATTCTAAGTAATAAAAGTAGTAATATTAAGTAAAAGTAAAAGTATATTAAGTAGTAATAAAAATGTTTTGTTAAAATATTCACAAGGGTGTTTTTAACGTGTGTCTACTAATAAATCTTTTAACGCTAAGTTAAACATACATTGTCTTCAGTTGCTAAGGAAGGAAAATGTTCTATAAAAATACTTTCTAATTTAAAGATGTAATTGTAAAAGTCATGGTGTGGCATTAATAATTTTCCATAAAGAGAATTGTCATTAGAAGTACATTTGAAAAAAAAAATAAAAGAAAAGATTGTTCAAGTTTTTGTTGATAATTAGCATAATTAATACAATCCTGACAAACATGTTTTTCTAAACATTTTCTCATTAGATATCTGCATATACAGTGTGTTCACGGAAACAGGGAACACTTAATAACTCATTACCCTGTAAATATTTTTCAATTCTGCTTGTGGGGCATTCAACTAGACTAATAGGTCATACATTCCTATAACTAATAATTTTTTTAACTCATATAGTTTGCGCATGCGCAGTACATTATCCTTTTTTTTAAATGGTAACACCTGTTTTGAACACTATATTTGGATAGGCCTATTTTTTATAAGTAATTTTGATGAATCAAGTATGGTTCTAAATTCAAAATTGACTGAATAAGAGCCATGTAAATTTTAATAAATAATACATTTTTTATTATTTTTAAAAATTTGTAAAATCATTTGTAATTAATTCTTATTGGTTACTTTTTCAATATTTGTACGTATTTTTTTTAAGTGTTATAAAGAAGACTAACATAATATGAGTACAAAATTATTTATTATAAACTGATAAGGTACAAGTGAACAACAGTTTTTTATAATTACACAATTAATTAAATAAATTGTTCAAAGTTTGCTTCCTGATTTTCGACGCATAATTGAAAGCGTTGTAGACATCCTCTATTGGTTGCTGACATTATTTGATTTTCGGTAAGCTTATTACAGGCAACCACGATTTTATTTTTTAAATCAGC